ACACACATTCACACATACACTCACACAAACTTACACGCATACACACACATACACACACATACAACACATAACACACATTCACACACATACACACTCACACAGTCACACACATACTCACACCCATACACAGACACTCACATACAAATACACAGACATACAAACTCACACACATGCATATAGATACACTCACACACATTCACACATACTCACACACACATATACACACTCACATTCACAATACTCACATTCACACACATACACACATACACACAGATACACACACTCACACATACATACATACACATACACTAACACTCACACATTCACACATACTTGCACTCACACACATACATGCACTCACACTCACACATACGTACAAACACATACACTCATACACATACACACATACTCACACACATACACACACTCACACTCCATTCACACATACTTGCACTCACACACATACATGCACTCACTCACATACATACAAATACACACACTCACACACATACACACATACTCACACACATGCACACACTCACACACACATACATGCACTCACACACCCATACAGAAAGTGGAGCTGAAACAAAGACTTTAATCAGACAGATCATGACTGAAAGAATTAACTCATTGTGGTCAAAGGTTTCCTGAGAGGCGTGCTACAGAAACTTCCCTACCATATTAAAACAATGGAGGGTGGTAAAATTAGAGCAAGAGAGAAGGAACATCAGAATACCGAAGTAAATAATTTCCAGCCCTATCCTCAAACCAGCATCCGCCCAAACCTCAGCTGACCGGTCCATGAAATAAGATCGTTACCCTCTGTATTTCAGGAGAGGTTAAAGGGAGTTTGAAAACCAGTGCCTGCTTCCCACAGTATGGTTATGAAGGCCAAAATATTACAAATATGAATGAGTAAGCCTCAAGATCGTAAAATGGTGTGTGTGTGTGTGTGTGTGTGTGTGTGTGTGTGTGTGTGTGATTGTTTCCAAAGCATTGTATTATATCAAATGGTTTGACGAGGTCAGATGATACTGAAATGGAAGATCTCTGGAATAGATATAAGGACTTGGGGGTGGGGATGGGAGGTGGTAAACTAAGATGATATCATCACACAACAGAAGAAGCAAAATCATTTAATCATTCTCAACCTTTCTAATGCTGCGACCCTTTAATACAATTCCTCAGGTTGTGACACCCCAACCATAAAATTACTTTTGTTGCTACTTCATAACTGTAATTTTGCTACTGTTATACATCATAATGTAAACATCTGTGTTTTCTGATGGTCTTAGGTGACCCCTGAGAAAGGGCCATTTGACCCCCAAAGGGGTCTCGACCCACAGGTTGAGAACTGCTGATTTAAATGACTATAGCAAGCACTGGGTGCCAAGTGCTAGAACCATGCAAAATCTTTCCTGGCTGGGTGTAACGTGCCCCCTCTCCTGAAACAAAAATGGGCAGCCCACTGCCCACATAGTTCCCAAGGATCCTGAATCCTTCCCCAGCCAGCACCTAAGTGGATCCTTCCACCAGCTTGCCGAGGGAGCTGGCATTCTTGGCATTTCCACAGAGATGGGGCTCAGTGCGGTCAGCTTCTGGCCCACGCTCTCCCACACTGGGGTTCTGGCCCGGGGTGTTCTCCCACAAAGAGCTGTTGTTCACACACTGGCCGGACCTCAGAAACAGTACTTTGCTATCTGTGTGCTGTTGTTCCAGACATGGACACCTAGGCTATGGGCAGAATGTGAGATGACTTTAGGGGCCTCCAGATGTGGAATTAACGCAGAGTCACAGGGGAGGAGGGCCATTTCCTTCCCAGCTCCCTTCTGTCTGTTCGGCTTCATCGTAGAACAAGCCTGGTGCAGGTGGGCCCTACCACCTCCTAAGGTGTTGTCTGTTGTCGCTTAAAAATGTGAAATGACATAGTTTTTTTTTTTATTTTTTATTTTTGGTGCGTGGGTATGTTTGTGCGTGGGTGAGTGTGATGTGGAGGTCAGAGGACAGCTTGTGATAGTCAGTTCTTTCCTTCCACCAGGTGGGACCCAGAGATTGAACTCTGTTGTCAGGCTTGGCAGCCAGCTTTGACCGACTGAGCCATTTCACGGGCCTTTTGTTTTGGGACAGGGACTTAGATGGCCTAGGCTGGCTTGAAACTTACTATGTAGCCAGAGATGGCCTTGAACTCTGGACCCTCCCACCTCAGCAGGCACTACCACAGCCACCTACCTATTCTCCATTTTTTTTTTTTTAAACAGACAAAATACTTCAGGCTTAGAGCCTTTGCTAGGATACAGGATCTGGATAGAACTTAATAACAGTTTGAGCTTTGCTTTATCACTCTCCCTAGTTTCTGGATCTCCTATTTATAGCAAGTGCTTACAGGCTTTCATTTGGTACGGCAGTCTCTTTAAAAAACAAAATGAATTATAAGCTGAGCCGATGAGAACGTTCAGGAGACGGAAGCATCGAGTTCTGCCGCAACTCAGGCAAGCGGCTCACTCAGGGTTGCCGGGTCTCATTCCCGTGTCACAGAGAACCCCGGACCTTCTAGACAAAGCCTGAAAGCATCACTGGTGGGGAGACCCTGGACTCCTGACACAGGATCCTGAGCCAGTTGCATTGCCTTCTGGGAACAGCACTTTTCTCTTGGCCAACAGGCTTCTAGGG